GTATTTTTTGCATTTGCCAGCAGTTCAGACATAGTGAAAGTTTTCCAACATTTCATAATAACCAGATCTGCCAAAACCCATGTATTAAATAAATTGTCCAAGTGAAACTCGACTAACTTTGACCTTTGTGTATTTCCCAAAGATAATATTAACTGTTAGTAAACATTCCTGATACTACACTTAAGTGTTTGCAGATTCTGCAAACTAATCGCTCATCATAGTGTTGAAATAACTTGAATATTTCATGTTCAAATGAAAATCTTTTCTCTGGAATATTTTAGAATTGCATTTTAAATGTGTGAAATGTAATCAAATTATTTGTAATATTTTAAATTACAGTGTAAATATTAGTTTTACTCTTCATTTCCCTGTACATTTATTTAGAACTGGTAGTAAGGTCTTTGTAATGTTTTGACTGAAATTTTTAAAGGTCACAGAACAATTGTAATTTTCCCCTTTATTAAGATCCTGTTGTATGATTTAGCTTGCACGGTTATTTTTATGGTCTCTCACTACTCTGCAAAGTGGGGGCTTGTGTGGGTTGTTATTATTATTTGGATTAACACAGTGAATACATTTTTTGAGTAATGGCTAATTTCGAGATGAAATTATTCACATCACACCTGGTTTATATCACTTAAAAATGTTCTGCTATCAAAGTTATTTGTAAGCATAATTGTTTTGATAAGGAGGATGCTATGAAATAGGTTGTTTATGTCATAGCATGTATTAACAACCCAGGGGCTTTGTCTCCTTAGAACTCTTTCAATCTGTATTGTAGTAGGTCTACTTTTTCTTTTTTAATTTAGAAGTTATTTATTTTATTGGATGTGTGTGGGGTTATGGTATTCATTTGAAATATAATTAGGTTTGTTTGTTTCTGGATTTACTTTTTTACTAGGAAAATTTTTAAACATACCTAAGAGCAGACTAGTATATTGAATTTCCACATATTCATTACTCAGGACAAACAATTAACATGCTATGAATTCTTATATGAATTGTAGAACTATATATATTTAAAAAATATCAATATGATATTATAGTGATAAAATTTAAACATTTAATTGAATGATGTATCCATACTTCATTGTGGGTATATTAATCATATTTTTCACTAATTACATGTTCATTCTAATACTGTGTTTTTTATTTACAGAATATTTTCACAAACCACACACTGGATATAAATGTAAGGTGGCTTGCTGTTCTGTATTTTAAAAATGGAATTGATCGCTACTGGAGACGTGTAGCACCCCAGTAAGTTCCGTGGCTCCCCCTAACATCCTCCCCTTCAGTGTAATTCTTTCTGAATTCAAGAAAGTTTAAGAATGTACCTATTTATGTAAAAGAATGTGTTAGTACTTACTTTTGCAGCACATATACTAAAATTAGAACAATACAGAGAAGATTAGCATGGTACCTGCAGAGGATAACATGGAAACTCATGGAGTGTTTGATATTTAAAAGAAAAAAATCCAAAAACGTGTTCACTACTGAAAAACACAAGTGTTCTACACAGTTAATTGCAGAACAACAGCTATATTATTGTTTTTCTTCATGGATTTTTTTCTCTGTGTTTGTGTGTCATGTTGGCCTTCTGTTTTTGAGGATAATGCTGAGTGAATCATGTTGAAAAAACCCTTTTTTTCCCCCCTCCCCTTAAAAGAAGTATGAGTCGGGTGTGGTGGCAGTAGTCCCAGCTCCTCTGGACGCTGAGGCAGGAGGATTGCTTGAGCCTCGGAGTTTGAGACCAGCCTGGACAACAGAGCGAGACCTTGTCCCAAGAAAAGAAAGTATAAGGTTAGGTTAGGATTTAGAAAAATGCCATTGAGAAGGAAATCCCTGGTCATTTCTGAACCAGCTGGATGTTAATTCCTGAGTCTTCTGCATTCTTGCCTGAGTTGAGTATGGAGTAGTATACATTTGTAATCTCTTTAGATTCAGTTGTAACTGCCATGCAGATGGTAAGTTAGCAGATTTCTCTTAATAGTTAATTACATGTTATATATTTGATGGAAAGGCAATGTAGACATGACCCTGGCATTTGTTTGATAGTAATACAGTAATGAACTTTGCTGAAGAAGTAATGTAATCTTTGTTCTCCAGTAGATGGCACTATAGCTCTGTAAATTCTCATTCATAAAACCTTTCTAAAAAAACTTGTCTAAGTACTTTAAGGTTCATATAAAACGTGTTTTTGAATAATATTGGAAGCAAGCAGAATATTTTTAAGCTGCACTTAGGATCCTATGGTTTAAAGCAAACCCATCTCATCTTTTTTTTTAAGGATTAACTTGTGATTTTGGGAGAAATGAAGTAGTTTATGATAAAAATTGTACAGTATTGATTATAGGAGATGACCCAGCAGTACGAACATTTCTACTATTCTATCCAATTGTATTTTACAAGTCTCCTAAAATTTGTTTTGTTTTACTGATTATATAAAGAATATATATAAATGACTGTTTTTTTTTTTTTTTTTTGAGACAGAGTCTCACTGTGTTGCCTGGGCTAGAGTGCCGTGGCATCATCCTAGCTCACTGCAACCTCAAACTCCTGGGCTCAAGCAATCCTTCTGCCTCAGCCTCCCGAGTAGCTGGGACTACAGGCATGCGCCACCATGCCCGGCTAATTTTTTCTATATATTTTTAGTTGTCCAATTAATTTCTTTCTATTTTTAGTAGAGACAGGGTCTCACTCTTGCTCAGGCTGGTCTCGAACTCCTGAGCTCAAACAATCCGCCCGCCTCGGCCTCCCAGAGAGCTAGGATTACAGGCGTGAGGCACCGTGCCCGGCCATAAATGACTGTTTGAATGGAGAGTAAATTATGATTGAATATTTTAGCTTGTACTTTTACATAAAGAATTAGAAGCTGGAATTTCGCTAAAATTTAAAAAGTTAGGGAGAAATCATACAGAATTAGGTAGTTAAGTCCCAAGCTGTTTCTTTTAGTACATATTGAGATAAAAGCTGGAAAGGAGGTGAATGTACTTAGAAAAGGGAGTGAGGATGGCAGATTAGTAATTGAACTTTTTTTTTTCATGGTTTTTGAGATGGGGTATCCATTCTGTCACCCTGGTTGGAGTGCAGTGCTGTGATCATAGCTCACTGCAATCTCAAACTCCTGGGCTCAAGCTATCCTTCTGCCTCAGCCTCCTGAGTAGCTGAGACTATAGGCTCACACTACCACGCCCGGCTTATTTTTTAATATTTTGTGGAGATGGGGTCTTGCTGTGTTGGCCAGGCTGGTCTTGAATTCCTAGTCTCAAGCAGTCTTCTCGGCTCATCCTCCCTAAGTGCCAGGATTATAGGCATGAGCTACCAGGCCTGGCCAGTAACTGAATTTATATTTAAATTTAAAGCACTTAAAAAATCTATTTATTATGTTCTTATCTAAGTTTAATTTTATGTAGTTCCTACTCTTACCATTATTTTCACAGAATGAGAATTAACTAACTTAAGCTTGTATATCGTTACTATATACAATGCAATTTGCCTGGGTCCTGATTAATTAGATATTATTCAATTCCTGCTTGGGATGTAGTCTTAATTCATCTATTGATGACATGTGCATAAAATTAAAGGTGGAACGTTAACTGTTATTGGAAAATTGACAAACACGTGACTTTTCTCCAGGTTAATGGCCTATTTTTTTAGTATGTATACAGATGGTACCCAGTTTACAATGGTTTGATTTATTGATTTTTCAACTTTACTATGGTGCAAAAGCATATGAATTCAGTAGCAACTGTACTTTGAGTACCCATACAGCCATTCTGTATTTCATTTTCAGTACAGTATTTAATAAATTGCATGAGATATTTATCACTTTATTATAAAATAGGCTTTGTGTTAGATGAGTTTGCCCAGCTGTAAGCTAATGTAAGTGTTCTGGGCATGTTTAAGGTAGTCTTGGCTAAGCTATGATGTTTGATATGTTAGGCGTATTAAATGCATTTTCAACTTAACAGTGTTTTTGATTTCCAGTAGATTTATCAGGATATAACCCCATTATAAGGAGCATCTGTATATTTTTTGCATGATCTCTCTATTTTGATAGCTAGATATTATGTTATATACTTTTATCTTAATTAGAATTATGAAAACCATGAAAATTGGTGAACCTGGCTCCTTGGCATAAAAGGAAACTTGAATTTAAAGCTTGAAGCAAAACATTACAGGAGAAAACATGTCAAGGATTTGATGATGGAAGGGAGCTATTAAAGTTGGAAAGTACAGCATGGTTGTATAAGGATTAAAGAGGTCGTTTCTAATGGGAAGACATAGGCCTATATTGGGCTTGACTCCTAAATGTTTATCTTAATCTTGTTTTCTCATTTGAGCAAGTCACTGTTAAGATGTTTGTAAACTTTCATCGAAGTATGATATATGTCATACTTAAAAAGTACACGAATGAAGGAGGGGTTTGAATGTTTATAATATGAACACACCCGTGTAACTGCCACTTGCAACTAGATAGAACAGAATACTACTAGCACTCCAGAAGCTATTGCACGTAAGTGCATTTTATTGCCATTTATGTTCACATGTATGTTCAGCTTTAGTAGATAACTGTCAACTAGTTTTTCAGACTGTTTATACCGATTTGTGCTCCCATCAACAACATATGAGTATTGGCATTTGCTTCACGGTATCAGCAGTTGGTCTGATCTTTCAGTTTAGTCATTCGGGTGGGCTTGGTAATTTTAGTTTGCATTTTCCTAGTGAACAGTGATGAGTACCTTTTATATACTTATTGGTCATTTGGATATGCTCTTTTGTGAAGGGCCTGTCATTTGCACATTAAAATAATTTGGGTTATCTTATCGATTTTTGGGACTTTATGTATATCTTGGATATGAGTCCTTTGTCGAATATACGTATTGAAAATATCTTCTCCCACTTTGTAACTTGCCTTTCACTTTCATAATGGTGATGAAGTTTAACTACCTTTCTTTTATGATTAGTTCTTTTGGGCCCTAGTTATGAAATTTTTGCCCAGCCCAAGGTCATGGAAATATTCTGTTTTCCTCTAGAAACTTTGATTTACTTTTCTCATTTAGGTGTATATCTATCTGAAATTTATTTTTGTGCAAGGTGCATATATGAAGCAGAGGCAGCAACATATATTCTTTTCCCATTGCATTACAATGGTACCCTTGTTATACAGGCACTTTTTATGTTTGGATCTTTTTTTTTCCTCAGTTTTGTCCTTTTGGCCTATTTGTCTATCCTTATTCTAGTTATTTTTCTTTATAAGGCTTGATGTACTTTATATTACGTTTTTGGATTTAATTTGCTATTCTTTTTCTAGATTCTTGAGATGGATGCCTAGAGAATTTTCAGTTTTTCTTCTTATATATGCATTTAAAGCATTAAGGCTTTTCTTGTAATCATGACTTTAGTTTCACAAGTCTTGATATATAGTATTTTCATTACCATTCAGCTAAAAATATTTTAAAATTTCCTCTGTGATTTCTTTTTGGACCCATAGATTAATTAGAAATATATTACTTAATTTCCACACATATGGGGCTTTTTAGTTACTTTTTTATTACTGATTTTATTGTTTGAAATATGCTATCTTGTTTTATGATGCAACATAAAGTCTTTTGGTAAATCTTTTATGTGCACTTGAAAAGAATATGTGTTTTGCCGTCGTGGATTATAGTGTTTTCTATGTCAGTTAGGTCAAATTTGTTAATCGTGCTATTCAAATCTTATGTGTCCTTATTGATTTTGTGCTACTTTTTTCATCAATTATTGAGAGAAGTGTGTTAATCTCTAAATATGATTATGAACTTGCCTACTTATTCTTCTGATTTTGGTCTCTCTATATTGAGGCTCTATATAAACTCAGTTTTTATTCCTGTTTAATTGATCCTGTCATAATTATTAAATGTTTCTCTTTATCTCTAGTAATATGTTTTGGCTTAAAGTCTAGTTTGTCTGATGTTAATGAAGCCACATCAGCCATCTTATGATTAGCATTTGCATGGTATATCTTTTTCTGCTTTTTTATTTCAGTGATGTGTATTGTTCAATGTAAAATGTGTTTATCATAAACAGCAAACAGTTGGATTTTGTTTTTTATCTGATATGATAAACATCTTTTAATTTTAGCATTATGTCCATTTACATTTAATATAATTACTAATATAGTTGAGGTTCAATCTACCACCCACACGTTGTTTTCTATTTGTCTGTGATCTTTGTTCCTTTTTTTTTTTTTTTCTTGTCTGACTTTGGCTTGTAGTAGTTCCCTCTTATCTGTGGGTGATAGGTTCTAAGACCCCCAGTGGATGTCTGAAACTGTGGATAGAGCTGAACCCTTCGATCTGATAACCAAAACAGCTAGTAAGTGACTAATGGGCAGGCAGCATATATAGCGTGGATATGCTGGACAAAGGGATAGATAATTTACGTCCCAGGCTAGACAGAGTAGGATGGTGTGAGATTTCATCATGCTAATCAGAATGGTGTGCAGTTTAAAACTTAGGATTGTATATTTCTGAAGAGTTCCATTTACTATCTTTGGACCTTGTTTGACCCACAGAAAGCAAAACTGCAGATAAGGAGGGAAAACAGAAATTTTTTATTACTCAATTTTTCCCCCTAAAAGCTTGTTTAGTATACGTTTATTGCTCAAGTGGTTTTCCTACAGATTATAACATGCATCCTTGATTTATCAGAGACTATCCTTATATTAGTACTTTACTTTTTCTAGATAATGCAAGAACCTTGTAATAATAATACCTTATGTAGACGTTCCTGTTTTGTTTTTTTTTTTTTTTTTGAGACAGAGTCTCACTCTTTTGCCTGGGCTAGAGTGCCGTGGCGTCATCCTAGCTCAC